GATAAATTTTGCAAAAATGGTTCTCTCGCTATTGGGATGACAATGAATGAAGAACAACCAATTGACATACCCACTTGGTTAATCACCGGTTGGAGAGGACAAAGTTGTTGATATATGGTCACACAATTTGTGGGCTTATTTCTCTTCCTCACTTTGAAATAATTGTTCCCCTCTTTCTCTCGATATACTAACCCATGAAATCAACTGCTACTATAATAAACCACTTACTGTACCCACTGATAGTTTACCTTTCAACACGTTATCAACAGATTTGTTTAGAATTGACAATAAACTCTAGAAAAATAATAAAGTACCTGACATTTGATATTTGGAGAAAACCTCAGATTCTGGTTTCCTCTTTTCGATGAAGTAACCCGAAGTAAATAGAAAAGATGGCAGGTTATAATCATAAACTGATATCAATATAAATTTTGGAATGCCTATAGAGAAATGAAAAAAATATACATGATACAAGTCACATGTCAAATGATAAATTTTGCAAAAATGGTTCCCTCACTATTGGGATGACAATGAATGAAGAACAACCAATTGACATACTCACTTGGTTAATCACCAGTTGGAGAAGACGAAGTTGTTCTATTTTTCGATGAAGTGAGGGATGTAAATGTTCTCTACCTTCAAAGTCCCCTTTCTCAATTTTCTTCACACATTGATGGGTTTTTTTTTTTTTTGGACTTAAAAATCCACAAGTTGAACGCCCCCATCAACTGGCTTCACGACTCGAAGAAGACGACCTTCGACCGTTAAGTCGTCGAAGAAAATTGACGGGAATTTCAGCTGGAAATGGGTTGGTTTCTTCTGGCCATTCTAGGGCTCTATTTTGGGAAGAAAGGATAAGTCGTAAATCTCTTCCCTCCTATTTATTTTTATTTTTATTTTTACACTACGGTTCCTGCCCTTTTCCTTTTTTTTTTTTTGGGCCACGTCACTGTTTTTTTTTTTTTTTTTTAACTTCTATAAAGGCTCTGTGAATGTGGGTTTGTATACATAGAGTTTTCCATCTTCACCCTTTCTAGTTCAGGTAGACGTTATTAGTTGCAAGTCAACACATCAATGAACAAGAATTCTCTAATTATTTGATTGCTTGGGCCTCCAAGACTCAATTAGTCTAATTATCCTTCATCAAAAGTCAAATTTTGCTTTTGTTCCCCCCTTCTTTGCATGCGTTCTCTCCTTTGAATTTTTTAGATGACCCATGTAGGGTTTTAGATCGATGACTCTCAAATCAGACGATTTTAAGGTACTAGATTTTAAACATCATTATAGGCTTCATAAAACAAGTAAAAAAGATTTCGAAGAGAATTTATTTTTTTTTTGTTTCAAGTGCAATTTCATCTCTGATTACTTTATAAATGACCCTTATATTGAACTTTCGATCGATGACTCCAAATCAGATTATTTTAGGGTACCAACTTTTTAAATACACACACATATATATATATATATATAATATATTAGTCTAAGACAATCCACACAACGTTTTTACACAAGGAATCCAAGTTTATATCAGTGTCTTCCGACAATAGTAAAATCACTCCAAACTATACTAAATTTGGTCTTACAACAATTCATTTAAGATAGTTGTAAGTATGGCATCTATATTCAATCTTTTAACCTATCCAACACATGAATCAACTTATTGTATCATGATGTAAAACTCAATCCTTGTGTGCGTATAATATCAAATTCTGTAAGGCTAAGTTTCAATCAATTTATGCATGTAACGTATCCATAGTTCATAAATTAACACCAAATCTCAAATTAAATCATCATTGTCGACCAAGTTATCTAACCCACACAATCTAATAAAAGAAAATATTTTTTAAAATTTTCAATTTTTTTTACTGAAGCAATACTAAAAACGAACACACTGAAACCTACTAACATACAAAAAAACTCAAAGTTTTTTCCACCTCCAAACTTAAAATCGACATTGTCTTCATTGTCATAAAGTATAGGTAAGCACATAAAGGGGTAGGGAAGAAAAGGAAAATGATACTCCCCTAATGTTTTTGAAGTAGCTTGTCAAACAATACAATTTAGTTATCAAAATCTAAGCTACTTCTGCTGGACATCAAAGTACCTGCCAAAGGTGAAACAATATGATTGTCAAAAGGTAGTGAAAACGTCCCTGAAACCTTGAAGTACGTGCTAAAATGATTTTTCTGCTATTTGTGGCTCTAATAGATTACTCTTTTAACCAGCCTAAGTGTAGATGTGATGACCCCCAAACTAAATTGAAATGTGCATATAAATAATGTAACTTAGAATCAAGAATAACACTACATGCAATGCAATACAAAAAGCAAAATAAATAAAAGAGTTAGAAAATTGTGTTGCCTCCCAATAAACACTTAATTTATAGTCTTTAGCTAGACTTGCAGCTTGATTATTTCAGGTTGTGGAGTTGGATGAGTGACTTCTCTTTATCAAAATCACCGTCCTAGTATGCTTTTCAAAAGTTGCCCATTCACTTTTAAGGTGCCATTTGTCTCATGAGTCACCTTGACTGCTCTATGTGGAAGGATTTGAACAATTGTAAATAGTCTAGACCATCTAGAACATCATTTCCCAAGAAAAGTTTCAATCTAGAATTGAATAACAATACTTTTTGACTTGGAGTGAACTCACATCTCTAGATGTACTTATCATGCAATTTCTCTATCATCTCCTTATACAGCTTCGTATTCTCAAGGCATCCATCTGAAATTCATCTAATTTATTCAGTTGCATCATTCTCTTTTCTCTAGTTGCTATCATGTCCATGTCCAACTACTTTACTGCCCCCAATATGCTCGATGTTCCAACTCCACGAAAAGGTGACAATCTTTTCCAAACACAGGGCGATATGGTGACATACCTATTGGTATTTTATAAGTAATCTTGTATGCCAATAGTGCATCATCAAGATTTCAAGACCAATTAGTTCTTGAGCTATCCACTATCATCTCGAGTATTCTTTTCAGTTTCCTGTTTGACGCTTCCATCTAGCCACTTGTTTGGGGATGATAAGGTGTATTAAGTTGATGTTTCACCCCATATTTTGCTAACACTAACTCCAAAAGCCTGTTGCAGAAGTGTTTACCTTCATTGGTAGTGATAGTTCTGGGGGTGCTAAAATGCGAGAAAATGTTCTTCATCAGAAAATTAACAACCACTCGAGCATCATTAGTCGCCACTACTATTACCTTTTGGAGATAATCCGTATATGCTAGCATTGATCACTATGTTTCACATACTCATTAGCATGCTTAAACAAGAAGGACCAAATAAAATACTTGTATAACTTTCGCTGTTATCTTAGAATACTCAAAATGCGCTGCATAAGCTGAAGAGTGACAACGCTCCATAATCTAAGATATTTCCTCATTTGGCACACATCTTCAAATGATCTGATTAGCACCCCTCCTATATATATGGGATCCTTCTAATAATAATATTTCAACTCTAAGATGAATTTCTTCCTTGGGTGGTGCGCTAACTCAGGTGAAATCACTTTACATGCCAAGTAATTCACTATGTCCACATACTTTGGCCCATTGTCAACTGTAAAGATATGCTCATCTAGGAAACAATCCTTTATATCCACCCAATCCCTTTGTTCTGCCTGTTTAAGCTTTGAAAGGTGATCTGCTACCATATTTTCACTTCCCTTGTTGTCTTCAATCTCTAAATCAAACTCTTAAAGGAGAATTATCCATCAAATCGACCTAAGCTTTACATCCTTCTTAGACATCAGATATTCAAGGGTTGCATCACCTGTGTAGACAATTACCTTATTTCCCATGAAGTTTGATATGAACTTATCAAAGATAAACACAATTGTAGAAGCTCCTTTTCTATGGTTGCATAATTGAGCTATGCCTCTGTTAAAGTCTTGCTCACGTAGTGGATGACAGGGAGAATTTTATTCTTTCTTTGACCCAATACTGCCCCTATTGTATAGTTAATAGCTTCGCACATTAACTCAAATGACAATTGCTAGTCCAGTACAGCTATAACCGGTGCTGATATTAACTTTTCTTTTAGAGTGATGAAAGATGCCAAACACTTTTCAAAAAATTTGAATGGTGCTTCCTTTTCAAGTAAGCTACAAAGATGCTTGGCGATTTTAGAAAAATCCTTGATAAACCTCCTGTAAAACATTGTATGGCCAAAGAAACTATATACTTCTGTAACTGAAGTTGGTGCAGATAGTTTTTCTATCACTTAAATCTTTACTTTATCTACCTTGATACCATCTGTCAAAATCCTGTGCCCAAATACTATTCCTTTATGCACCATAAAGTGACACTTCTCCCCAAATTTATTTTCTCACATCGTTGCAAGACCATTTTCCAAATTTGAGAGGCAATTCTCAAATGATGAACCGAACATCGAAAAGTTATCCATGAAGACTTCAATAATTTTCTCCATCATATATGAAAAGATTGTCGTCATGAATCCTTGAAATGTGATAGGGGCATTACACAACCCAAATGGCATCCTTTTATATGCAAAGGTATCATAGTGATACATAAATGTAGTCTTCTTTGGATCATCTGGAATCACCGCAATCTGATTATAGCCTAAGTACCCATCCAAGGAACAGTAATGTGAATGCCCCGCTAGTCTTTCCAACTTTTGATCATTAAAGGGTAAGTAAAAGTGATCTTTTCTTGTTGTACTATTCAACTTGCTATAGTCTATGCACACTCTCCATACCATGATTGGCTTTGTCCATATCAGCTCATTACTCCCACAATTTACCATTGTAATCCCTCCTTTCTTTAGCACCACATAAATCGAACTAACCCACTTGCTATCGAGATCGGGTAGATGAAGCATGTATCAAGGAATTTCAATACCTTCGCTGACACGACATCCTTTATGGTAGGATTCAATTTACGCTAATTTTCCATTGTTGGCTTATCGATAGACTAATCCCTCTAATATCAGTATAAACCACCTAATAGCTGTTTATTGTTCAAGCAGAACTTTTAGTAGTCTCTTCTATTCCAACTCGGCCATCTAATTGCAATAATCACATTAAGTATAGATGACTTTCCTAACTAAGCATACCTCAGATGTGATGGCAATTGCTTGAGCTCAAGATTTGGTGCATTCTAAATAGAAAGTAATAGTTTATTAGGCCCTACGACAAGTTCCTCTAACTGTCTTACTCCATAATGTAGACCATCTAACTTATCTCTTCAACTATTGATTTTTTATCTTGTGAGTGTACAAGAAGATTTTCCAAGTGGTCTTGAGGGTGCTCAAGAATGAAAGTTTCCTCCACAGGCAAATCTACCATATCAATGCGCAAAAAACTATCTAATTCCATAAGATACTTGATAGCATTAAAGACGTTGAATTTTACCTGCTCATCATTTAGTCACATCATCAATTGTCCCTTCTGAACATTAAATAGAGCTCAACATGTTACAATGACCGGTCTTCCCAATATCAATAGCACGTCCTTGTCCTCCTCAACCATGTCCAAATGACGAAATCTGTAGGATAGATAAATTTGTTGACCTTCACAGTACGTCTTCAATAATTCTCTTAGGAATTTTATGGACATGTCTGCTAATTGCAAAGAGATTGATGTTGCATTTGCCTTTCCCAAGTTTAGTTTCCAAAAAATATAGTAAGGCATGAGGTTAATGCTAGCACCTAAATTATGGGGAACCTCATCAAATTTCTTGTTACCAAGAGTACAAGGGATAGTAAAAATCCTTGGGTCTTTTAGTTTAGGTAGCAATTTATTTTTTAAAATGGACTGCATTCTTCATTTAACACAAATGTCACCAAATCCTCCGGCTGCTTCTTATTTGTAAGTATCTCATTTATAAATTTCACATAACTAGGCATTTGTGCAAGTGCATCCACAAATGATATATTGATTTACAATTTTTTGAATACCTCAAGGAACTTCAAGAATTGCTTTAGCTTATGCTTCTGTAGCCTACGTGGAAATTAGAGTAGTTAAACAATTTATTTGGTAGGAACGGTTACCTTAACCTTTGGATCCTAAAATACTTTCTCTTGTTCTTTATTCTGCTCAGATTCCTCCGAGTGCTCCTCAACTGTGGTAGGTACATTTTCTTGTGTAGCAACTGGCCTCCTCACATTTATTTTAGGTAGCTGTATCCCACTACAAACGGTTATAGCCTTGCAGTGCTCTTTCGGATTCATTTCAGTATCTCTAGGCAATGTTCCTAGTAGTCTCTCTCAAAGTGTTTTAGCTATTTATCCCATCTAATTTTCCAATTTTTTTATGGTATCTCCTTGAACTTGCAAGTTTTTAACCTGTTTTTTGCATACTTTGAGTATATATTTCTACCAACTTAGTCACAAGATCTTCTAATGAAGACTTTTTGTCATTCTGCTGAAACTTAGTGGTGTAGTCTGCTGTAATGCAATCTGAGCTCCATGATTATTACCCTACTGACAACTTGGGTGATTTCTCTAGCCTGGATAATAGGTATTAGGATTTGGATTGTGTTGTTGCTTTTGAAAATTTTGAATGTAGTTCACATCCTTTACTGTATGAACAAAAGGAGGCCTTACATTCCTCTACTGTATAAACAAAAGGAGACCTTACATTACAATACATTGTTCATTCCACAATGTTTACATTTCCGTCCCTCTATCTGGGTTGCGTTCATTTGATCTACCTTTTGTGCCAATGATGTTAAATGTACTGAAATTATTGTCAATGAATCAACTTCAAATACCTCAACAACTTCCTTTCCATTCATCCTTTCAATAGGCCAAAGTGCACTGGTGAATGCCAAATCCTCCATGATTTGGTAAACTTGATCCACGGTTCTTTTTTTATTGAACCGTCGCATGCAAAGTCTTCGTTAACCCTACTAATCGAGTTCAGAATAATGGAGAAGTATTACACCTGAAGCCACTTTTGTAATCCATATTGTAGGCATTGGCAGAGTAAACCCTTGTATTGTTCCCAAGCCTCTATTTTTATCATTCTGTGTCCAGTTGTTGGATAATAGTAATCTCATCTCTTAGCTTTGCAATCCTTTTAGGGGGAAAATAATTACTATGGAACTTCTGACTCAATTGGTTCCATGTAGTGATGATTGTGGTGGACAGTGTCTAACAATTTCATTGTTGAGTCTTTCAATGTGTAAGGAAAGAATCTTAGTTGCTTAAAACCCCGGATATTCGATTGTTACACACATGTCCAAGAATCTTGATATATGAGCATTAGGGTTCTCAATAGCTCTTTGAAAGAATTGCAAAGCATTCTATAACATGTTTATGACATCCATCTGCAAGTGAAAGGTCACTTGACTAACGTCAAATATACTATGCTAAACTGGCTTTTCACAACCAATGGAACCATATACTCTCCCATTAACCTTGCATTTTTCATTAGTTGTAGCTACATTCGATTGTGCTACTCCTAGATTAGCTCAATAGCTATTTGATTTGGATTTTCCTCTGCCATGTCTTCATTTTCTATTTTTGGCATGTTTTCAACTATTATCTTCTTCAAAGGTCAAATGTTCGTTCGATCTCTAAGTCAAATTGAGCAAGATCACCGATCCTCGAATTTTACATACAAGATCCAAAAAAAATGAAGTAAAAAACACTGTAATGTTTTTCTAATATAATAAAATAAACTAAAAAAAAAGGTAAATTCATTTTAAAGCTAAAATCAACTAAAATTTATCAAAAACAATAGTCCTGACAACAGTGTCAAAATCTTGTCCCTTTGAAAACCTGTAAGTACACGGGTTCATGATCAAGTAATACAACGGTGAATTAAGTGTCGAACTCACGAGACTATGTGTTTGATCGAGTTGAAGCTATTAATACCCTTAATTAAATAGTAATATTGAGGTTAAGCAAATCAATATCTAATTTATCATCTGGCTTGAAAGCGAAGCAAAAGTCTATCAAACTTGTAAGATGTATTGCTAAGATGTAGAATTCTCCTTGTTAATCCATTTTTAGTTCAACAATTTAAAATGGCAATTTGAAATCATTCTTGTTGGTTAACGTTCCCGTTTTAATTAAAAATTTCTCTCGATAGCAATTAAATCTAATCCCTAATCCTACATGTGATCTTCCTATATCTCTAGGAAAGATACAAACATGTAAGAAAGTATTAAACGAGCTAGAATATTTCTAGAAATCATGTGAAGTATAGAGGTATATTTCTATCATCTAACGAACCTCACAATTCTTATCACTACATGCTACCAATCTTATTATCTCACTCGATGATAATGGAACTCAAAAACAATTCAATTAATGGCCAATTACTTGAAAAGCAAACTAAAATAAGCATCCAAACATTCAAACAAATTAACGTCAATCCAATTATTCAAACCAAAAATTTCACAACAATGTAAAATCTAGTCGAGCACATTGAAATTTCAAGAAATCATTACAAGTTTAATATACATTACCGCGAAAATTAAACAATTGAGAGGTCTTGAATTCGTGAATGACTTCGATGAATTCTTAATATCTCTTGAATTTTCCTTCCAATCGTTGCGTAAATTTCCTGGTATGAATTCTACTCAATAATGTTCTTGTAATTCCACAATTGAATTCTCTCACAAATATAAATTTATCTTCTTCTTCCAATATATTTCTCTGAGAATTTTGGTATTCTTGAGTTTTTTTTTTTTTTTTTTTTTGCACAAAAGAGGCTTTTCCTTGGTGTAAAAGACATTCTGATATTTATATGCTCGAATCTAGTTCAAAGATATCGCCCAAAATCTTAACCAAGCTAAGTTTTAATTGTATAAGGAAACTTGAGATTTGGCTCATTTTTATAACTATGCGACGACATAGTTCATCGTAATGTGGCTGCATTGTAAAGTTGCTGAGCATTGATATTTTTTCTGCAAAGCATCACGCAATCACATAGTGCAATTTTTGGCTGCCTTCTACATTCTTTCATGTTTTGGTCTCCAAATTTTATTTATTTAACACAAAACACAAAAATTTAGAATATATTTCATCAAAAGAAAAATCATATATCACTATTTTAGGCCATGGATAAGTGTATCACATTGAAACTATGTGGCATATCATAAACTAACTTTTACATGATTTATAATTAGGGATGGTAATAGGATCAGTATGGTGCGGGTCGATCATTCCCATCCCACACCCCTTTGGTATTTTTATCATCTTGTCCCACATTATACTCAGTTAAAGTGTTCTCTTTATAAAAGATGATAAATCTTTTCTTTTTGTATGATAAAAACTTAAATTTGAGATTAACTTCAAATGGGGTGGGGACCATTTTTTCGTTCTTCCTCCGTACCCAGTTTAGGGGCAATGACTCTTGCCTATTCCCATCCTACCACTACCTCTGTTCCATTTACTCGATTAGGCAGGTAATTCCCGACCCATTCAAGGTGGATCTATGAGTATCGTGTTGAACGGATTTTTTTGTCATCCTGTTTACAATTGGAAACTTGATAAATAAGAAGTAAGATTGGCCTATTCATCCATTTCAATATTTAGGATATGTGTGAAGTAGACTTGTTTAGAATAAATATTATGATAAGTGATATTTTTTAAGAATGTATGGTTAAAAAGTAATAAAAAAGTTAAAGATTCATATGCAAAATTATTTTACTAAAAGAATGTATAGTTGAAAATAATTCGAGAAAAAATGAATTTAAATATTTGTACCAAGAATAATGCTACTCAAACAGGGTTTAAAGAAGGGGATTTTGACAGATTCTGTGTTGGCAACACCTATATGGGTAAAAAAAAATTTCTAATGGTCCAATGGTACTACGCCACTTGTCCTATTATTTTTAAACTTTGCAATGACCCTGTTGTGCAGCTGAACTCTTGTACCAAATATGGGCTTAATCCAAAAGCATGTGATAGAATGAATGGTTGAAAATCAATTGGAAAAAAAAATGAATTTAAATATTTGTACTAAATATGGTCTTAACCGCGAAGCATGTGATAAAATTTTGAAGTTACTCATTAACAAATTAAAGTAAAACCTTTATGAGATAATAATGTTGGGACCAAGAAAAATTATTATTTTTGAGAGGTTATATTTTATAGAGTATTAATTGTTGTTTGTTACAATGGTAACGAATTAGACAAAGTACCTCTTTGAATTATTGGTAAGTTTGCTAATCCTAGATGTTTTAAAAATGTGATTATAAACAATTTTAATTGTCATCATGGAGCAAATAGAAAAGCAAGGATGATTGGTTTAGTTTGTTTGTTGGTTTGATAGGATGATGAATGCTATCAATTTTATTAATGTGGTTGGGAACAATGATGTGAAAACAACAAAATTATTTTCGACATCATAAGATTTGGTTAAATGAAAATATTAACGTTGAATCAAAAGTTAGTGATATGAAGGAATCAATGGATTGAGTAAAACTATTTTTGGTCTGTGCTATAGAAATGTGATGGATGTCAAACACCTTTTAAACTATTTTAGTGAAAATGACGTGATGATGGAATCTCCTACTGATTAATATATTGGTACTGAAAATAGCTATCATTGATGATCATGATTCAATGACTAATTCTAAAAAGGAGACATTTCAAGCAATCATTACCCTAAATAATTACTTTGTATAAAAACGAAAAAAATATACCAAATGTAGTGTGTGCGTTGCGAAAAATTACGGATAAATTTTGGTTTGGGTGCAAAGAAAAAGCAAAAGACTTTAGATGCATATTTTGAAAAATAGGCGAATTGAAAAACATTATTGTCAAATACTAGGGTTGTGAATTTAGTATACTAGCACAATTTGGGACCTAAGAATTTTATCATTTAAGCAAGATTATTAATTTTGAATATTCATTTAGCGAGTTTTTACTGTATGTTATTTCAATAATGTTGTGACCAATGGAGATTTTGTTGAACTTTGTCCTACATTTTTTATTTTTTATATCCATTCCCTTTGGGGTCAAATTTTCTTTTGTTCGTTCCTAGTCCATTTTAGATATTACGGGATTTAGGAAATTTTAATTTCATTGAGTTTGCATTATTTTCTTTTACATAAGTTACGCATGTCTTACATCATCAACAGCCAGACGAATGGCCTTAACTCCTATTTCCACCTAAGGCTCAAGGTTTACGATATCTCTAGTGAAGTTTTAAACATTTATTTACAAGTAAATTTTTGAAAATTTTTTTTTTTTTGTTGGCTAAAATTATGTGT